AGGAGACTCCGGTACTATTAGTCGAACCGTTACCGACCTCTACTAATCGACCTATCTCTATTTAGAAGTTAGTAATTTAGTATTCTATACTTTAAACTATATAATTCATCGGGGGACTAGTAGTAGAAATAACTAGTATAATAGCTAAATCTATAATAGCTAGATAGTATAGCTTAAAGCTATTAATCTCTAAGAATTATACTACTAGACTTACTAGCTAGAGGATAACTACTAGTAATTAGGGGGTTATATACAATATATCTAGGCCTCTACTAAGGTAGTATATCTATTCTTTTAGTATATATTCTATATATAGCCTAAATAATTAAATTTTATTTATATATTTTAAGCTAAGGTTAATAACTTTTACTACTAGTAAATTTACTACTCAAGTCTAAATCGCTATTTTAGTATATAGCTAAAGTCCTATTCTCTCTTACTATAGTAATTAGCTAAGTAGTACTTAGTATTTGCTATAGATATATTTCGTTTTCTAACTAAATATTTAAAGCCTACTAACTAAGAGTCTAAGGGAATTAATAGCGCGCGTCTAGACTAGCAGCAAACTACTACTTAGATACTAGTACTTATACTAAGCCCTACTAAACTATATACTATAGCTAGAACAAACTACTATATAACTTAAAAAAGCATAACTATAATTAAGAATTGTAAGATTAGTAAATTTTCCTTTATAAACTAGGGCATAGATATATATAGAAACTAAAATTATAATATTCTCTAAAACTAGTATCGTATTCCTAGAACCTTATAGATAGCTATATTATATATAATATAAACATACCTAGGCCTATAGTTGTAGAGTCTAAGAGCCTTTAGCTATCGAAGTTTGCTAGCCTCGGTAGTCGAGATGTGTGTGCGATTAGTAATCAAAACAAATACATTGCAAGCTGCCAGTCTTGGAACGCGATAGTGGTCCACAACACTTCCTAGTTGACATGCACGGGCGGCGAAATGCGCCCAATCGGTAGACAGCACGAATGAGGTATCCAGACGGGAAACCGAAAGGGACGATTTGGCTCTGTAGGTATCTCAATACGGCAGTCATAACGCCCCCATCCATTCCACAAGGCTGAAAGCAGCTATGTTCATTAAAGACGAGGCTCCTCCGTAGACATTGCCGATGGAGGCCAAGATCGCCTAAATTCCGCGGATCGGATGGACCAATCTCATGAGTCGACACAACCAGCATCCGACGAGTCAACCGAATCGGTCGCTCCTCAGCACGGCCAGCTTGAACCCAGAACTTTACGGTTTTCCGAAACGAGTGACAGCTAGGGTCACTAACCAGCAATCCTCGACACCAACACCCTTCGTTCGTCCAGCATTTCACGTTAGATGATCATGAGCACACCACCCAAAGTGGGCACATTGTTCAGACGGCTGGTTTGAATGCAGTTTCTGACGAAGTATTAGCAGCCTGACAAGCAGATCTTGTATCTGCCGACGATAGCATTCTATGCATCCTTTGATCTAGATTCTAGCACCTGCATTTTCCACAAGGCTATTCCCTGCACTCCCCGCCACAACCACGCTGCAGCCTTGCTCAAGCCTCAAAGTGCCGCACGAAATCCATCCGGATTGTGAAACCTTGAGTCTCCCACTCCCTACCCTGAGCATGTCGAGGACAACTGCCATTGGATCTCACGTAAAGCACAGGTCTCGGCCCTTTCCCTAACACTTGGTGGCGTGGCTCTCTGCTCTCAGTGCTCACACTGCGAAGTCTGCTACTACCATACTATCGCTCATCATCGACGATCGTTTCGAGTGTTTGAAGAAGAGGAAGTCCACTTCTTCCCTTTCTTTCCTAAATCTCGCCTGAGGGCCAACCATGCCATATGCAAGCAAACGACAATTTGGCATAACCGTCTTCTGCCTGAGTATCAGACTCATCAGTGGACAACCGAAATGCTATTATCCGGATGGCACATTGTCGACAACCGACTCGCCATGCAATAATTCCGCAGAGTTTTCAGCGTGCTGTAAGAGTTCGGCATACTGTCTGTACGTCGTTCGTTCAAAACAAGAAAAGGAGAATCAGAGAGAAAGCTGACACAAAGCTCTACCTAGATCCAATGGGCTCTGCCTAGAAAACGGAATCCTCAATCGTGAGAGCTGTACAGATCAAAGCTGGACGTCGAGTTCTTGTCCACAATACTGTAAAAATGGTGAGCAACGCAACAACAACATCTCCAAATAAACCTTGCAAGTCAAGCTCACACCTTCTTCTCGAACAGAAGCCTCAAATAAACCTTGCCCATTAATGCCCTGCACAAACACAACTTTCACCTGCGGTCTCTACCCAAACGACTGTGCCGCTTCAGGCACGACCTTCGAAATCAAAGACCTCCGACCCACAGCACCTCTCCATCCCACCACCACCACCACCAATAACAACGCCTCATCACCAATATCATCCTTCACATCCCCCGAAATCGCAGGCACAGCCGTAGGAATCGCTCTCCCTCTCCTCCTCATCATCGCCCTCCTCACCTACCTCCTCTACCGAGAAAAGGGTCGCAATCGAGCTATACAACTTCATAATGACCAGGCGCTGTATTACGGGTCTGGCGCCTCGCCGCTCTCGCCTGGTGTGAGAGAGATTAATACTTGTAGTTGGAGTGCTTGGTCGGCGAGGAGGGAAGGTGATGTTTTGGAGAGGATTCGGGAATTGGAACCTGCGGCGAGGAGGGAGAGTAGTCATCATTCTGTTAGGATTTTCTGATGGGACGAGAAAGAGAGAGAGAGGTGAAATGGAGGGTCGACTGGAATTCTCCCATGCTTGGTTGGTGGGGAATTGCATGCTTGGATTTCAGGCACATGGCTCGCTGACATACATATTTTCGCATCTCTAACTGCGGATGCTGGCATTCTGGGTTGGAGAGGAGGGGGAAGGTAATGTCTGCCAGGCTTCGACTTCGACTGGAGAGAATGAGGAGGCAGGGAGTCGAAAGCCGAGCTATCAACGTGTCCAGAGAATATGAAGGCCATACTTGTACTGCCTAAGAGTTGGACAGCTATTTGCGGACTCTAGTGTAGGCTCATAGGAAATAGACACGATTAACGATCTTACGTGAAAGAAAGGCGTCATATCTCAATCAAACGGCACTCTCCTGAGTTCTCCTCCAGACCCATGTTTTTGAGCTTCCTGTCTCGCACCAACAGCACTAGGCACCTTAATCCCACAGCAATCTCCCCAGCTACTAGAGCTGTGCACATGCTTCATGCCATCAACAGTGACCTCATATTCTCCCACATCCTCGTCTCCAACCCTCTCCTCAGCGTCCTTGCTCATCTCCTCCAACGCTGGCAAAAGACTTCCAAACAAGAAATGCTGCGCGACAGGCAACTTGCCCAGGACTTCGGCCAAAAACATCTTCCGCATCCCACTTTCCACTTTCGCCCAGGATTTCGCCGAAGATATGTCGTCTAGCATAGGAGAATGCCATCTAAGACCTTGGACGGTTTTGGTCGCGTTCACCCATTGGATTTGATCCAGGTAGAGAAAGTCTTGACTGCATTCTTCGATGATGAGCTGGTTATGTATGCTCAAAGGTCGAATGTGCTTGTGGTTGACCAGCTGACTGGCTCCGAACAAGAATGGCAGAAATTGGTAGTCGTCCAAACCCCAGACTCCATGACTTCCAGCTGGTTCGAGATAGTACGTACTCTGCACATGGCGCATGAGGCGTAAGTATCGTGGGAAGACAAGCAGTCCGAGAGCTGGGAACGTCGAGTCTGGCAATTTGTGTAGCTGTCGCAGACATAGCAGCCAGAGAATGAAGTTCAGCTCATGACCACTGCCGTAATCGATTCGGCTGCTACTGCCAAACGAGTTTGAGATATACGTTGATAGCTCGTTTTGTGCATCCTTATCCGTTATGCCTATCTTGTCATGCCATTCTGGCAGTGCATTCTCCACAGCGCCCACGAAGTCGCGGAAAGCTGGGTTACCAAATCTTGAGCCCGTGTCGAGAGCTGGGTGTTGTTTGAGTAATGTCTCCGCCTCGTCAAGGACTGCGAGGAGTGCTATGATAGCCGGGTCTTGAGCGGCGGCGGAGTCCTGGACATGGCCGATCGTCTGGTCGCGAAGAGAGTCGGAGAGGTGGAAGACAAAGCTGACGATCAGGTCGTGCGTTGGAGAGGAGAGGAAGAGCTCATGATCGCGTTGAGATAGAATTCTTCGACTTGGCTTGAAGTATTTGTGGCTTTCGAGATTTGGGGCTCCAGGAAGTGCTGGTGTTGGAGGTGGTGCATTCGAGTCTTCTTCTTTTACTTGTGGTCGACGGCGCGGTGTGAGCTTTGGAAGCTTCTTGGAGAGGTCTGGAGGATTCTTGGGCAGTTGCCCGTCGGAGATGGGCACGGCGGTAGGCATTGTGATGGAAGGGCTGAGATTGTAGATGAGGAGGTAAATGTTGTTGAAGGTCGTTGGAAGTGTTTTTGCTACAGCACTGACGATACAACCGTACGTGAAGTGCCCCTCATAGCACATGTCTGGCCAACCAATCATTTGGACCCGGACTGCGAGTAAATACTCTCGGTGCTTAGGAATCACATTTGTACATGTCTAGACAGACTCGTCTTGAAGCCGGGAATTGCTCAGCAGGAAGCCGAACAATTCGACGAATCAGTTCGTGTCGATGAAAGGAAGTATCAAATCTTTGACATGTGATCTCTGCTGTACAAGTCGGTCATAACTACCCAACAACAAATATATACCACCAGGTGCCGTTTGGGCCCTTTCCCATCCACCTTCTATACGCCTATATCGCCAAACAAACGCTCACAAATGTTGAAGAACAAGTATAAATATCGCTTTACATCATCCAGTGTTGGTGCGCGTCGGCATCTCGTGCACATCACTCCCAGCCATTTCATAAATAGGCGTTGAACCATGCATTTCTGATGGTCCATCCTTCGGTGCGAAGGCCTCATGGCTGCCTTGCATCTCGGAGTAGCCGTGCCTGTTGGGGTCCACTTTGTACGGGCTGTCCATCTCTTGAGCCTGCGGTATCTTTGCAGGTGCAAGCTCGTGGATCTCGCCGCCTCCGAGCTCGCCGTTGATCGGTTGTGAGACGAATGGCTTATTCTCGTTGCTGGGGTCTTCACTGGTCTTCGCAGCGCCCTGGGCGTCTTTGGCTTCGAGCTCGGCGAGCCGCTTCTTCTCTGTCTGTTTTCTTCTTCGCATGAAGTAGAGGATGGCTCCAATGATTGCCACAGCGCCCACTACACCTCCCACAACACCACCGGCAATGGCACCGACCGGTGTAGAGCTGTCGTCTGAGTCGGAGGATGTCTCGTTTGCTCGTCGAATCGTCCTTAGACTCGTCGTGCTGACCTTGGAGTCGTCCCATATGCACGGCGCAACTGTGAAGTTTGAACTATCGTAGTCGGCGATGATGTATGCTTCTTGGAGAAAAGTTCGCCCCAAGATGTACTGGGTGTCGTTGGCCGCGCGCTTGAGCGGGAAGTAGTAAGACTCATTGCCACTCTTGTAAGAAGAGTTGAGGTTCAAGACGTTCGGAAATCCCAGTAGCAGATCGAAGGCTCCATATGGAAGTGTAATGTCCACGGTATCTCCTCCAGAGGCTTGCGATCCGATTGTGAAGGTCACTTTCGGATTTGAGGCAGTGAGTGATTCATGCAGAGAATTGTTCACAAGATAGAAGTTGTAATCTGGATCCCAGGTCAGACCGAAGGCTTCTTCAAAAGCAGTGCAAGCACTCTTCGGAAGCCAAATTTGAGCGACGGAGGAATCGATCAGAATATTGATGGATCCGCCAGGCAGTAGGTTAGATGGCGATCCGCTGCTCGTCTTAATGCCTTGAAGATTCACAAGTAGATCTCTGGTGATATCCGATCCCATCTTCACGGTAATGTTCTTGCTTGCATCGAAGCGATTCGAATCGTAGCCTCCGAAGGTCAAGGATCCGTAGACCTTGTTCAGCCTGTACTGATTACCAGCAGTGTAGCCATAAGTCAAAGAAGGAGTGATGTTGTGATTAACCAGATCCTGCATGATCGAAGGTTGAGGATCATTGAAAGTGGTGAAGTTTGAAGGTTGCGGCTTCAATCCGAGTAGACCGAGCCAGTATTGGGAGTCAGCCAAGTTGAAGACCACGGAGTGGTTCACAGTACCAATTGTCGAGCCTTGCCATCCTAGTGTGACAGTATCAAATCCTGTTGGTCCCTGCGTGTCCATGCCCAGATTCTGCTCTATTCCCACATTGTACATGCTATTTGCTACCCAAGTCAAAGACTCGTTGGCTTTGAATATGAAGCCACGCACATCAGCGCAGTCCGAGGGGTAGTATTTCGGACATCCATTGGCGCTTATTGATATCGTCGTGCCTATGGCCGTGCTGGGGAAGACACGAATATTCTGTGGATTGTTGGTATTGCCCAGTTGCAAAGGAAACGACGTCCATGGCCCGTCATTTCCATCCCAGTATTGGCTCGGTCCCAAGGAACGCGCTGCCGGGTATGTGGTCGAGTCTGCTCTCTTTGCTAATGATGCATCTTCATTCGGTGATGTGCGCGCCGCGAGCGAAGGTATGGAAGATGTCGAAGCAAATGGCGCGGTAAGGAGGAAGGGAATGGCAACGGCAATGGTGGGAGGGCGCGCTGCGGGCCTCATGGCGGCGGAATGGCTCTGGCTCGATGGGGAGTATGCGATGTGCAGAAGGAAAGGCGAAAGGCGTGATATCGGCAGAATTAGAGGAAGCTAGTGCGATAGTGTTGCCGCCGGCTGCCGGCTTACGGGTCTCTCGGCCTCCACACTCGCCGTCCATCTCATTCCCGTCTATTCATCAAAGACTATATCAAAGACTACCCGAGCCTACGACAACACCAATTGCCTCTATATCATCTATCCTCACTCTTCATTTCCTCCGCCATCCCAAGTCGCTGTTGTTACCGAAACTGGACCGCAGTCAAACCTACAGCATGTCAATGTCGATATCCTTGCCATACGAGACGTGACACCGTACCTGCAGAACTATCTTTAGCGTCGACCTCTCATCAGCTCTTCTCCTCGCTACACCTCCAACTATAATACCCGCTTATTGTGCAGAGCAGCATGCACACCATGCAACACTACATCCAGGAAGGAAGCATCTTGCTCTCACGTCTCAAAATGCAGACGAATGTGCAACACCACACGCCGAAGCACTTTTTCCTCGCTCGGAAATCCGACCACTTCTTGGACCCCTGATCTGGTCTGGCCTCTCGATGGTCCGGAAGCATGATTGGAGGCACTGAGAAAAAAAGCATCATAACAAGCGATGGGGCTACGCACCTCGCTGGAATTCCATCAGACTATCAGTCTACGCGTTTCTTGATGATCATGGAATCAGAGGCGAACTGCACGTCTCACAGGATCGAAGCTTACAAAAGCTTAGATATGCTGCACAGCTGCAGAAGATCTTGTGCACGAAGATCTCGGGAACGCGGAGATGGACACGTCCAAAGTCGAGTATTACAAGACAAGTTCTTCCATCCTATCCAAGACGCTGCTTTATTTTGCTGCAAGAGCTCGTAATGCACCTGTACTAACACCTGCGACCTTCGTGCTACTCCTCGGCGCAGCTTCATTGCATCCGCAGGATGTTTTGGCTCGCGTTCTTGGTTTTTCAGGTGACAGCAGATGCTCGGCTTTCCGGGCTGCTGCGTGGTGAGTGCATACATCCTCCATGCATGAGAACCAATACGGCAATACAGGGTGTTCATGCTGCCCTGATAGCAGAGGCATCTCGACGTCTTCGTCACATTCGCAGTCAAGTCGCTCGTAATGTTCTGACTAATCTTTCCACAGATGTCGCGTCTACAGGAACATTTGAAGGCCCTGCGGTCACTGCGAGCCCTGGCTTCAATCTCTCCTCCTACTGCGCGGCGCAGATGACCACTTTCTTCAATACATATAATCCCACGAACTCATTGACGATATCGACAGTGACCGACTACCAAGGCTTCTTCGGCACCGGTACAGATTCCACCAATGTGGTTACTCAAACATATTCCACCCGCACTATTACATTTACGGAGCAGAACTACATGGCATACCAGTTGGGAGGCGCAAAACCACCGTGTTGTAATAGCTGTCACATCAGCGCTGGCACCATTCAATTCTACTGGTGGCCAGACTTGGCCAGTCCCACTGCAACGACGAGCAGCAGCGGTCCCTCGCGCACAGTCACTTCAATTGCATCCAACGGCTTCGTATTCACATCGCCATCAGTCTACATGGCCTTCAAGTCCGTGTACGCAAAGAACTTTTGTGGGACTGTAGGAGATATCTGGTACAACACAACCATCGCCTTTCACCCGGATGATATCAGCACAATCAATGCTTACACCGCCACTTACACAAGCGAATATACCACTACGGAAGACGGCTCAGTGTATACAGTCGCAGCATCAGTAGCAGGAACGCAGCCACCTCCATCGCGATTAAAGTACACAGATCTTGCTCAGAACTGCTCCACGCTCTCGGGCTACAACTACTTTCCCAACGACCCGCAAAATGACCTGGCAGGTGGATTCGAAAAAGACCCATGTCATCCAATCCTTGACATTCCACCAGCACTCATAAATCTGCAGGACGCTTGGAAAGACAACCACTGCCGGAGAGCAGATTCCTTCTCAGGCGCATACGATCCTCCTATCGCGCTGACACAAGTCGATGAAGCAGCACAACCCACGCTGCCAGGAGGTGCTCAGCCTGGTAGTGCCAGCACCGCACCATCTTCAGCACGTATGACACGAAGCTACACAGCTCTACCAGATATGACCGGCACACGAACCTGGACTTTGTCGACTGGCACTGCTGCTGCTGCCATAACGATCGGTAGCGATGTGATAAGTGCCAATTCTGCTGGCGCTTATGTTCTAGATCCTGAAAACATTTTGTCTGTGGGCGGCGCATCGTATGGCGCAGGTGGGACGGTCTATGCTCTTGAAACTGATGCTTCGGATCATACGGTATTATTAGTGGTTGCAGCTACTGGCTCGACTCAAGAACCTTCAAGTTCCAGCACGGCAAGCATGGAGTCAACGCGATCTGGAAGTGCTGCTCCACCAAGCACAACGAGTTCGATATCGACCGCTTCAAGAAGAACTTTAGATATAGGAGTTGGATTGATGGTGTTCGGTCTGACGATAATGATCGCACTGTAATGACTGCCTATCAGAGAATAGGATAGATTTTTGGTGATAGATCACTTCCGCTAGCGAAACAAGCATCGTGATTTGCTTTTCATCTCACTTCAGAAAGTACAGCAATAGCGAACGCCGTCAGGAAAAGAAGATAAATGTCGCCAAACCCTGCGAATATCTCTCGACAATCATTCTCGTTTCGTTTCGTTCCGTTTCGAATGCGCCCAACTAAGCACAAGCAATCCAACCCGATCGCACGGGGTTTCCGGATGTGCAATCTGTATGTCCGTTTTTGTCTTTAGATGGTACAGTCGATACGCGCCATATAGGAAAAGCCTTGCTCTGGTAATTGTCATTGTTACACTGTATCCATATACCGCCATTAGTCCATATTCTGAAGAGAAAAAAAAAACCTCCCCAAAAAGCGCCCCCCCCCCAAAAAAAACAAGACGCGCCTCGTAGCGAGATTCGATTCAAGAGGACATTGAATACTTACGCAGTACGTATGTTTCCCGTTAGCTTCACAGCCTCCATTCCCCCCAGTGCCGTAGTTGCACCACACAGCATATGCCGACCTAGCCGTAATAACGGCAGTAAGGAGGAACGTGAGGAACTTCATTTTCGAAAAAGTCCGAATTGGATATAGGTGGGTAGGTGGGTAGGTAGGTAGGTAGGTAGGTAGGTAGGTAGGTAGGTAGGTAGGTAAAGCAGGCAGACTTGGAGTTTCCCTCGCGGTTAGCAGCTTAATAAACAGAGGAGAGCGAAGGGGTGCCCGGCTCCTATAACATGCATGCATATGTAACACTAGCATCACCTACGGAGCGCCTAGTTAATTAATTGTTAGTGTTAAGGTTGGTGCTAGTATAGGTAGGTAGGGTATAGGCTAGCAGGTAGACAGGTAGGTTTAAGGACAAATGCCGTAGGCAGGCAGGCAGACAGGTAGGTTTAAGGACAAATGCCGTAGGCAGGGGCAAATGCCGCAGGCAGGGGCAAATGCCGTAGGCAGGGGCAAATGCCGCAGGCAGGGGCAAATGCCGTAGGCAGGGGCAAATGCCGCAGGCAGGGGCAAATGCTACAGGCCCCTGCGACCTGCATGCAGACGATAGGACGGCTTCTCATCCGGTCTGCCGCCTCGGTATATGTGTCAATTGATGCCGGCAGTTCGTAAAGAGAGCGAAGGGTATTTTGGAATCTCTTTCCTTCATCGTGATACTTGCAGCCAAAGGCGGACCGGGGTGAGAATTAGCGGCCTTGTTCGCAAGCTGGCTCTGATAATTGCTCGGGCAGCTCATCGAATGTATAGACAATTGAGCATAGCCCTGCTGCACCTCATACGCTCGCATTGGCAGCAGCGAAGTGCAGATGTGATGATAAAAAATGCCGGTGGCTGGAACCATGGTCGACAACTCATCTGCCAATGAACGAAACCATGGCAGACTGCCTAGATGCCTTGTCACCAGAGCAACATCTGTAATTTTGCCACCGTTAAAGCCGTGAGGATCGTAGGGACGGCACGGAGCAGCGCAGATGGCGTCCTCCATCGTAAGGAAATCCACGTAATCACCTGGCTTGGAGCTACCAAGACTTCCAAGGCTGTACTGCGCCGTGACAGCGGGGATGACACATAGGCTCGAGTCTCACGTTTGGTGTATTTTGGAAGAGATTGAACGGATCAGTAACTTCTAGGCACGGGTTCATGCCGTGCTCTTTCATGACTTCGGCAATGTTCGTGGCACAGCTTCCGTGGTTCTTTACGCCCTGTTTTTCGTGCATTCCCGGAAAGCAACTCATCTGTATCCTGTCAGCGCTAGATGTGTCAGGCGCGATAATATTGTAAGACTTGAGCCCCTGAGGGCGATAAAGTAGTGCATTCCAAAAGCCAGATATGCTCAGTAACAACTCACAAATGTCATATCACGTATCTCGACAGTATCATCCACAAGCTTCAAGATAGGCCTGTCCAAGTTTGTCCCAAGGTGTTCTCCAATTGTCGGCGTGACACATGACATATGATATCGCGTAT